AATCTAACGGCTTACATTCATTGTGAAATCTGTCTGGGTCAAGAGCATAATAGATATCATATTCGTATGCGTAGCTCTCTGGTGGAAGCGAGATTACATTGCCAAGAGTATTACAACCTCTTCATTGTTATTTTGCAGAAAGGTCAATTCGTTCAGACTTAAAGTTCGAAGTGTGCTGTGCAATTAACGATGTGTCCGATAAGAAATAAATGTCGATATCCCACGCCCTTCGCCCTTACTCTCGCGCGGTTAATGCGTCCGCCGCGGAAGTCATATTGCTACGGAGATGCCGTGCAATCGGTCCGTTATACGTTAATACGAAGCGCATAGCACTTTTGTCTATCGAGCCGGAATACCGAATCGGCGTGATAACGCTATTACAAAGGTCACTGTCGTGACTCTCGCCCTCCTCCGGCATCAACGAGAGAAGTGGGTGGCTGGCTGGGGGTCAGGGGGTATTGCTGTAACCTGCCGGCAGCTACCCTTCGTCCCGACGTCGCGCTCCTTTGTATTCATGAACTTGAACGTGACCGTTAGCGATTCGATGAGTCGCATTCGAGCGACTTGCATACACTTGCGTAGAGGAAAGATTATCTGCCACAACCGGAATCTACTTCTCCCTCGACCTCGATTAACTTCGTCTGCAACAAAAAGATTCTTCACCTCCGAGGGTTTAACTGTACATTATTCCCGGAGCGCTAGTGAAGTGCGTTCTTAACCACACTGTGCAAATTAGTTGAGTTTATACCACAGCAGAGTTATTTAACGACTTCAAGAACATCTTTACTCTCAATTAATTCTGCGGCAAAGGTTTTGCAAAATATTTTACTGCAAATTTGTTTTAAATTTATTTGCATGCAAAGGACATGATTCTTTTTATCGAAGATACAGCTTTTACTAATTAGTCTCTTGTACTTTTTTTCTAATTATATTTTAAAGATAGAACGTCTTCGAGTTATATAAAGTCTCACACATATGTTTAAAGACTAAATAAATATATTACTACATGATATTATTACCATCATAATATAGCGTAGGTAGATCAATGATTATCTACTACTTCTGTGGTTGTATTTTTAGAAAAGATACACTTATTCTTGGAAGATATAAGAAAAATATAAACTACGACATAATATTTTTATGAAAAATATAAATAAAATAAAAAATCAACATGCCAATATGTTTTATAGTATTATTACATATACTGAATCAATATAGATTGAAATGTGGCATTCAGTGACATAGAAAAATGAAATTGATAAAAATGAGCGTTGTTATTTAACAACGACAACTTTTTTTATTATATAAAAAAAGTTTGAATAATGTCAGATTCTGTACTTTTTTCAAGTATCTTATAAATATATCTAAATTGTATAGATGCAGAAAATATACTTGATATTGCGATATGTTATAAATGAAAGGATAATGCCGCGAACGACACACTGCTTAAAACAATGAAAATTAATTATATAACAAAAGCAGAAAATATTTCAAACGTGCGGTGACGTGGTTTTACAAACCATTAAATATGCAAAATAAACCGATTAAATATGTCTATCCAAGAATGTAAATTTCATTGACTGCGACCATCATATAATATAATTAAACAAATTGGTAAATTCGTAATAACGCACGCAATTTACACCGAAATGTTTTTGTCCACGCCCATTAAGTACGTAATATCAACTAATATATGTTTTAATTAATCAAACCTTAACTAAAAGACTGACTAACTGCAATTTCCCAATTTATTAAACTTTTGCACAGACTCAAGCGGCTGTATTTTCGTGTACTACACGTACGTTCGATATTCAACAGTTGTAGTCCTTAGAAAACCATTCTGAAGTCTGTCTGAAGAAGAAGAAGAAGAAGAAGAAAAAGTCTGTCTGGACCGGCAGAATTGTTCTTCCTCTTCAGAAGTCTCCAAGAGGAACAACTGTGCTTCCTTCTTGCTATTGACGCATCTCGGATATATAGTAGACCAACTTCGAATAAGAGACGGTTTCTTCTATGGCTTTCTATACATGTGCCTTATTGCAAGTTGAAAAGTTAAAAGAATCCCTTAAAGTGAATGTATCAGCTTTCTTCTAAATTACAAAAACCGAAGGTCAGAGAAAAAAAACGAAATACTATCACTGTTAGATATACTTTACTTGTATACACAAGTTTTTTATACTGCAGTTACTTTTAATGCTATCGTTTAATGCTATCGGCTATATATATCCACGTTTGTTTTTACATTTGTAATTTGGATGCAATTTTGTGAAATTAAACATTGCCAGGTGGCGTTTACCGTTACAAGGAAGGTCAAATGAAAGCGACGTAATCTGACTTAAGGCTACAGGATACCCGCATTTTTGTTCTCGCGGCTTAACCCCTTCTCTACGTCACCCCCGGCGGGATTAAAGATACTGAGAATGCGGAACCTCGGTGAGGGACCTCAGAGGTTGAGACAAGTTTAATCCCCTGGCTGTAATTACGCCGTATTCCAAGGCTAGAAATATTTCGAACCCCGAGGAAAGGATGGACGGTCAGAATGTGAGGGATGGTCAATTAAGCGCGACTTTGTACCTGCGACTGGATTTCCCGTGTGATTTTCGCTCTCTCAGCATTCAACGCTGTGTTGTCCATTTACAAGAGAATCGGAAACACTCCGACAAACACGTGGGATCTTGACGATTTATGCTCATTTTGGTTCGTTGAATCCGACAACTTGCTGGATGTAAACGTTTTCGTAACATTAAACTTCATGATTTAGCATATATAAATCGCAAAATAATAAAATATAAAATTAAAAAGTATTCCTTGATTTTATTATTTATTTATTATATTAATTATGTTAATACATAAGCTAATTTCAAAATTAATTGCAATCTCGCAAAGGATACGATAATTGTAATTTCCTTCTTTTTTACACCCATTAAATTACAATCTGTCATAAAAGAATTGTTTAATTTTATCGTTGGCATCGTCGAAAATAGTTTCAATTAAAATTTAATCATTCAATATAAAACGGCGGATTGTCGATATTGTTGCAATATTACATTTCGGACGAATATTATGTCAGACGGCAAAGTTTCGTCAAGGACTCATTAACTAAAACCAATTACTGAGACGGACAGATTTAATTTTCCGCCGACGATAAAATTAATTCAATATGATATTCATCTTGTATGAGATATTAGCACGATGAATATTGTATAAAAAAGATCAATTTACGACACACGATCATATATGTCTGATAATATATCTGATAATATTATTTTAATGTGCCTCAGTAAAGAAAACGAAAAATGAATTATCATAAAAATAGACAAATATTAATAAATAATAAATAATAAGTAATAAATAATAAATAATAAATAAAATAGTATTATTATTGTATAGAATTCGCAAGAATTTCACAATACTGTATTTGTTTTTATTTATAAAATATTATATGTTAACATATATTTTTAAAAATTTATTAATAAAATATTGTAATAAAACATTATAAAGATATTTTGTTTTTTCCACATTAATCATAAAACTTTTTGTACAATAAACAATCTCTTTACAAATGATACCAAAGTTTCTACAATTTAATATTATAATTTTTTCTGAGATTTTTCTCATTTCATACTTTTATTACTTATGATAAATTTTAAGTGTCTTTATATAAAAATATGATGCAATCACAAACATAACAAAAATAACACATCAAACAGCAACATCAATATATAAGAAAATAATCAAATAATTATTATATATTTATATTCTTTATATATAGTTACTACAAATAAAATCTTTCTTGATTGAATTTAATTGAATCGATAATGTTCACGCAAAGTTCAAAGGCGACTAAAAGCGACAGGAAAGAAAGCAGAGGCAATAAGAAACAGATCAAGACAAAAACTTAAGAGGACCTCAGAAGCGTCTTACCGATAAATCGTGGTGAAGAAAAAAAAGAACTTACCAATGCAGAAGAGACAGGGGAGTGAATTGTTCCAGACAAGGAATCGATGTATTGGTATTTTTTCGCTTCAATATCTATTCAGAGCTTTTTTAAAAGCTTTCGTGAAAGAGCTGAGAAGATAAAAATTTATTGAACTGGAACACGTGAAAAGAAAATTTAATTTTGCAAATCTTATTGTATTGTTATTACTAAAACTAAAACTGTAATTAGATTATATTAAATAATTCTAAATATTTTATATTAAATTAAAATCAAGCGTTTAAATTACTTTAAATTTAATTAAATAACCACTTTTAATAAATTTTATTCTTTTATTTTCTTTATTTATAATTATTTTCAATGTGTTATAATTACTATTTATTTAGTGATATAATGTTTATGAATTGCAAATAAGAGATATTAATATATCTTATATTAAATTATCTTTATTAATTTTTTTACTTTATTGTGAATGAATAAAAAGTAATGTTGACCAAATACTAATTCAAGTCGGTGGTTGGAACCATGACGACACTTATCTCTTTTGGAACACTCTGCCACGAGACTTTTCGAGGGTCGAGGGTCACTCGATCGAAGAAACGTTCCGTGTTACCATTGTCCCTTTTCAAACTCGCCACCGCTTTACTGTATGCAATAAAGCTGGTTATGAAGCAGGATATCGCAAAAAATGTCATCCAGGCAAGTGCCTGGAGGATAATTGAATTGAATCACGTTTCACAAAAAAATTGAAAAACTCGAAAAGTGACAACCATTCGTTAAGAACCTCTCTAAAGTTTACAGATATACGTATTATTGAAATACATCATATTAGTTATTAAAAATCATATTATTAAGAAATACTTAAACAAATTACGTTACAATATACGTATATTTTTCTCTCAAGATTCTTATTAGAATCATTAACCAAATGGGACTTGTAATCTAAAGTATATAAAATGTTAAAAGATACATTTAAGTATATTTACAATTTTAAAATTAACAAAATTTATAGAGAACTTTTTAACATTAAATTATTTTATTTAAGTATATTTTGTTTTTTTTATAGATGCAATATGGAGGACTGATCTGGACTGGATGGTGATACACCGTGACCGCTTGGTATTGCTAAGCTTCATGAATCCGATCGGCAACTTAAGTACCATGACTGGTCCAGTAACTCCTCAACCTTTCGTAACCTCGGAGGAAGGCATTAACGAAAGTCTCGATGAACTCACTACACCAACACCTAGTTTAACAAACATGGCGCTTCCTGATGCTGTTGAAACTCGTATCGGAGAGGCAACTACTAGGTTCTCAACCGTTCTCCATCCAATCGTCACAGATCCATCTTTATCCCGCACTACTTTGACCCCTAGTACGATTCCAAGCAAGACTACGACGAGCACCGAAGCGATTTCAACAACTCCAAAAATGACATTGCTTCCGAAAAATAGTACTGTGAGACGTCCGACCATGAGAACCATCACCAGGAACGGCAATTCGAAGGGCAGATCGAAGGCAAAGAATCTCACGAGGCTATCTACCACGGCTAAACCTGTCAGAGCTGTCAGTGGAAACATGACGGCTCAAAGTATGTCATTAACAATGAACAGTCTGGCAGATCTTGATCATCCTGAAAATTTGAATTTAGAACTCCAAACAGGTAAATCAATTATTAATATTAAATTGTGATGTTGCTGATTGCATCTTATTCCAATGCGAGAAATACCTTTAGAGCAAAAATTAATAAAGCTGCAATCGATAGAAAGAGATTATCGAGGATATCGCGGAAAAGTTTTATTTTATTATAAATTAACTGCATGAAAATTAAATAAAATAACGAATCGGAAAAAGGTAGCGCGTTTTTCGTTTTAATACCCTATAAAATAATCGCATCGAATAATTAAATATCATTCTACCATGATAGAATAAATATCGTAGTATATGAAAATACACGCTCGTTGAAAGCTCGAGATTATTTACACGTCGCGTACTTCATTTTTCAGCCGAGTCATACGGTCCGATTACTCTTGAATATCTGAATTACGCCGCCGCGCTTGGCGTCTACTCGGTGAGATATCCCGCCGTCTTCTGGTCGTGCAACAAAGCATTGGGCACGATTTTCAGTCTGCAGTTGGTCGTAAATTCAGCGCAGAGTCTGCTGGCTTACGCCGGAATGTCCGTCCTTTACAAGGTAAGCAACGCAAGTATTCGATGCCAGTTAAAACTCGCGGGAAACTTCAGTAACGTCTCAGTCGGGCCGCATTCGTGTATACGAGATACTCTTGCGGATACAAGAAAACTTAATAAAAGTTAATAAAACACAAAGAAATGCAAGAAACGTCGGAGATCCTCAAGAAATGTATCGTGAAATATGGCGCTTATTTATTCGGAAAAACCTCAGAAACTTATTGATGTAAGTCGAGATAGGAACTCATTAAAAATTCAGAAAGGAAAGAAATGTAAAGCTATTATTAAAATTGGAATAATATCTGAGTTAATTCTTGTTATATTAATTTGAAGAATGATCTTTGTGTATTTAAATAAAATCATATTACTTATTATTTAATTTCAAAAAATTCATTTGCATTAATAATAGCTATTTAGATATTTGTTCTCTCGTAAATCTTACGATAACGATACCAATATTTTTGTTAAATTACTAAATAAATTACTAACTTAATACATGTTTTTAGGTTCAGGTGGTAGGTGCCTTGAAGGTTTTGCCGCATCTTCGGCATCGCACTGTGCCAACAACCAGTACAATTTCGACAATATTTGGAGACTCTTATTTTCTGCTGGATCCTCCCGTAACTCTTGTGCTCTTTGCTCTCTTGTCCTTTCTAGTGCTCTGCTCTAGCATGGTCATGTACTTCTACGCTCATGGCAGGTAAATATTTAGCATGTTATGCACAGCGAGCTTATTCGTTCCGTACCCCGATTAAACTTCCGAGCTGAGATTACTTGCCAAGACTTTCTTTCGCGAAGAAAATTATCTGGTCCATCCACCGTTATCAGATAAGAGTAAAGGAACAAGTTTACTCTTTAAATTACGCGAAGATCATCATGCGCAAGAGTATTATATGAAACGTTTAATTCTCTGAACATTTTTCCAATCTTGGATTTTGATAAGGATGTAATATTTATATACACTTTTTCTTGTAATTTATCCTATGCATCTATAATTAAACGCAACAGTATTTTCATCGCGAAAGTCAAAGACCCCCGTAATTTTTACTTTCTATTTATCCGGCTTTTATTTGACTTGCTAATTTGCTAATTTGAAACAGCACTTGTACGTTGCGTAAAACAGACAAGCATGCGCCCCGATACTGTTATTATTCAGTATGAAATTCAATGGTTTCCAATCCTCCTTTCTTACTTTCAGCATTTAACGAAGAAGAGCAATTAACAATTCCATCGATAGCATATCTTGTACCCAAGAATCTTTAAAGGAAATTACGTTTCTATTGACACAAAAAATAAAAAAGTATAATTCCCATTATCACGAATAGAAAATTATTTTAGGCGAAAATCTAAAAGTATAATGGATAATAGATTTAATTTAAAATTGAATGTAATTCTTCTCACAATATTTAAGAAAACAAGGTTCGGAACCAAATAATGCGATTTATAGTTTTACGTACTATTAAAATAACATATAATAGATATACTTAAAATCGAAATATTATTTTTCCTGATTTAAAGATTACCCGTGACATTTAGCGAAATGAGATTTTCAAGATATAATATAGTTCTCTCGATCTCTTCATATGAGCCATTTACATTTCGGAGTAAATAGCAACATTATGGGAATTTGATTTCGCGATGTATCAATGTGCAGGTTCACAGCATTCCTGAACCAGGAACGCGAGCGTCGCGTGATCCTGTCAAAGGACGGCCGCGAAGGCAATGATTGGGTCTACCTGCCGCATTGTGCCGCGTTTGTCGTGTTCCTCGCGATCGTGATCTGCGGTGCGCCATTACTCTACGATTACACGGTGGTGTATCGCGGTAGCCTGGACGGCGCTATCCTCGCCTGCATCATCGGTATGATCCTGCATCTTCTCCTCTGGCTGCTACTCTGGATATTTCTCATCGTCAAGCAACGATGGACGTTCAAGCTGCGCGTGACCATCGGACGCGCCACCGTGAGGTCGGCGAGGTCGGTCAAACTCGTGACTGACGTCGACCTGCTCTCAGCGAGAGACGACGATGATGGTACCAACGCGCCTTTGCTCGTCGTCGGTAACGGCAGAACATACACCATCGCCGACACCTCGCCAAAGAGGGCTATCATGAGCGTGATACAGAAAGCTGCCATGGAAAGGAAAGCCCGATCGCAAGGTAATGGAAAGTACGAGCGATCCATATTCCGGAATCCGACAAATTGGATTTTCATCTTTACCAGACGCTACAGCTTTCTTCTTAGTGCGCTAGCAGTAGACAAATGACATTTTTGAAAGATTGAGTTGCTTCATATCTGATTATACTTTCTGCAAAGTAAAGGAGCTTTTTTTTTTTAAGAACAATTGTCTTCTTTTTTCTACTTGAAGTCGAACGAATAGCGAACGCAAGCTGTCGGGCGTGAAATAGAATGAGCCACGGAGCTTAAGCTCTGATCGATGAAAAGTACGCGCAGCTAATACCTGAAAGCGATTTATCCTTTTCCGCGCCCGTTACAGGCGGAAACGTCGATGGAGTCGACGGTGAATCGACGGCTGACGGTGATGAGCAGATCTACTGGCTTAGGCCGAAATTACGTCCCTCGCCTACACAATCCCCGAGCGACACCGGCGGTGCACCGACGTCCGATAAGAGTTGGCTGAACAAGAAGCTCAAGCATAAGGTCACCTTTAACGACCTGCCTAGTACGTCAGGCTCGCGGTAACTACCCTCCTCCCTCCTCTTGGTGTCTTTGTGTATCTGTTTCTATGCTTTCACCATTCTGTCCATGTAACACTTGTAATACAAGTAGCACTTTACCCACGTTTCTTATTGCGTTTTAAGTATTAAATATAAAATTAAATCCTTTAAACTGATCTCATAATTAGATTATAATAGTATTTGTCTTTTCTTCTCTTCATATTTCCATGAAATGAAAAGATATTTATTTAGTAAAAGAAACATATGACAATATATATATATATATAT